GCTGACAGTTATAATTTTCTCTCCATATGCTGGTCTAACCGCAGACATAAATTACATGGAAAAATATTCGCTGCTCTGCAAATATTGCGGCACTTAAGCACAAATGCTGTGCCACCCACTGGGGGCACCCCCTTGTCGCCCCTTCGTCAGTGTCGCAACACTTTCCAGACAATTGCAACAGCGAGTGCAACAAGCGTCGCAAAAGTTGCAGCCTCCTGTCTCCCTCCCCCTCCGCATGTTTTATTACTTCCGCGCACTTTCGCTTCGCGGCAGAAGCAACAGAATGTTGCATATATGAGTATGTGTGTAAGTGTGTGTGTGTGGGAAAGTTCTCAGTGCGTTTAGCAGTTGGTTAGCAGGTTGGTGGGTGGGGGGGGGGGGGGGCGAAAGGGAAGGATACGTGGTGGGTCTGCATATAGGAATAGGAAGTAAGCTTCCTTCATCCTCTGTTGTCTCTGGCGCTGTTGCCACATTTTGGCGGTTGCCTGCGAGTGGTTTCCTGTCGGAAGATGCGTTGCCACATGTGTATAAATGCACTGAAAAAAAATAAGCTTCGTCCTCAATTATAATCAAACAAGAAAGAGAGGAAACTTACTCGATGAATCCAAAGTTAATATACCCTTGCAATTTGCAATTGAACAATCGTTTGAAACCGAAAATCGATCATCATTAAGCTTTAAATAATCGTATTCTTTGAATCGATATATATCGATATGATAATATGGCAAATTTTAATTTAACTAAAAGATTAAAAAACTCATAATTAAGCAAAAAATTCATTAATTTCAATTTGGAAAGTGGTTTTCTGTATAGACTTTTTTAAACCTTCAGGGAAATATTATATATATTTCTTAGAAATAACACATTTTACCCACAGTGTAAAGAAACACATGTGGCCAGAAAAAAATGTAAGAAAAAAAGCCAAGGAAGCTGCATCCTTGCCAGGATACATATCCCAGACGCTGGCAACTGTTCACTTTCGCTGCTCCTGCCATGTCCCACTCCCTGCTATTTTTTTACTTCCTTCTTAATATTTTTCCTTTTTGTCATTAAACTTTAACCACGGCATCTGTCACCGTTGCTCCTGCAGAAGCTCGACCTTAAAGCCAGCTAAATTTTAATTGCCCTTGTGAATTTACAGCCGAGCATCAGCGGCAACAGTGGCAGTACATTTGCAGGAAAATAAAAAAAGGAAACTAACTGGAGCAAATGCAGATATTACTCCTTTTTTTAACTCATGGCTTTTTTTCTCTTTCCCTTTGGTTTCCTTTATTGCCGGCATCTCCTTTTTATGGCCAGTTGCAGGTTTTGTGGCCTCGTTTTGGCCACAGCTACTCCGCCATATATCAAGAATTAATTAGCGTAATGCATTCACTCTGGGAAATTCAGGACAGGAGGACTTCTTTTATATGGCCCACTGATCGTGAAAAGTGTTTACTGCGGGCCCCTCTGAGTTTTTCCGCATTTTTCTTTACCAAAAAAAAAAAGAGATGGGAAAACTTGCATTAAATATGCATGGCAAGCATTTGCATGATGACAATGCCGGAGTTGCCAGCGATTTGCGTTTTAAATTGCTTAAAATTGAAGAAGGACTCAACTTGTGAGTTGGAGGAAAGTTTAAGGGGATAATTTAAAGTTAAATAACATTATCCTTTATTTTTTTCTTAAGAATTGCTTAAAAGGAATTGGTACCTTAAGAAAGCTTAAAGGCTTATTAGGAATTCTCATTTTGTATTCTATAGAGTACATTAAATTAAAATACAATTATATTTTCAAATACTTGTAAAGTATTAATTATAAAAATATAAACAATTTTCAAACAGTCATGTCGCTTTCATAAAATGCTTTTAATTGCATTTAATACTGCTAAAATAAAAGTAATGCAGACTTATTTAACCTTTGCTCTTCAACCTGGTTAATTGAAATCCGCCCGATGCCACTTAGCCCGACAGTTCAGTTGAGTTGCTTTAATTAAATTTCAGCCAAATTAAATGCGTCCTTTGCCTCTTTAACCCGTTCTTAACCGGGCTTACAAGACCACGCCCACAAAGGCCCAAAAAACAAAAAAAACGTGGCTGTTGACAGGCAGCGACGATGACGATGACGTCCTCGGTTTCAGCCAGGTGCAATGAACAAGGTGTGCAGTGGAGAGAGGGAGCCGGAGCAGGATCAGGAGCAGGAGCATGGGGCTGGAGGACACTATCGCCATTTTGTTGTCAGCTGCTTGTGGCAGGCGACATCAGCAGAAAGTGCAGGGAAAAAAGGGTTAAAAAAAGGAGTAAGGAGTCAGCAAAATGCATGCCAAATTAAACAGTAAATGCAGTGGGCCAAAAAGGAATTTCCGTTTCCCCTCACCACCACCACCGAAAAGCCAAAAAAGCATTCGACCAACCCGACCGAGCCAAGCCAAGTCAACAAACAAACAAACAAACAACAAGCAGCGAGTGCAGTGTGAAATTTTAATGCACAAAATTGCATGTGTGTTTGTGGCCATTGTTGTTGTTAGTGTTGCTGTTGCTGCCTTCTTCCCTTTTGGCCAACCAACAAACGGCAACAACACAAATTACTGGCCACGTCAACACACGGCAAAAATAAAAAAAAGAAGTAGGAGTGAAGCGAAATGAAACTGTTGCTGTCAGTCTGCGGCAGCAGCAGCAGCAAAATCAGCTTCAGGCCATGCAAAATACAACAGCAGCGGAATAAAATGGCAAATGAAATGATAGTTTTTGATTAGTCGAAGGTCTAATACTCTATATAAACTATAGCAGTTTTTAAGCTCTAAAAAGTATTTAAACTTTTGAAGATGATGATCTTTATACATGGTCTTTAAATAAACTTAAGATTCTCTTGAAATTTCATTGAAAATAATTCTCAAAAATTTTTGGTGGTAATGAAACCTATTCATATCTAGAACATATCTCTTTTAAATCTCATAATATATTATTCGCTAAAGCTAGTCACTTCCATATACTCCTTATTCAAGAGGCTCTCATTTAATGTGCCAAAACTTATATAACCCTCATTCAGGGTATTAAAAGGGTTAAAACCTGGTAACAGCAATTCATTGGCCATGAAGTTTTCCACCTGTCGACAATGCGTTGATTGCTCCCGCTCCACAAAAGCAGCAAAATCGGACAGGACGTCCAACTTGGCCTAAAGTCCAAGCTGAAGTTGAAGCTAAAGTTGATGTTGAAGTTGCCATTGCCCGTTGCCCTTGCCTTTGCAGTTGCAGTTGGCAATTCTCAGACGCTGATTGTTGCCATTTGCCGGCGATCTAAACCCGATACAAGTCGGAAAGAGACAAAATATCCGGTAAATGGCCGCGGAGAAAGCGAGATGGCACAATAGGAGACTCCCCTAGAATTCAACGAAGCGTGGCCATAAAACAAAGACTTGGGGGACCCTTCCAGTTGGTTTATTGCATTCATTTAGCGCATTCCCAGTGTGTGTTTGTTTGGGTATTTTATAAGCTCCATATATAGGCACAGGCACTTTTAGCAGCTTTATGGCTGTGCCACACGCCATCTTGCCAAGTCTCTCTGTCTCCATCTCCATCTCCATCTACATTTCCATCTACGGGTTGCACTTCTCCCGCCATTGTTGGCAATCATTGAGGCGTTAAGGGAAAACATGGAAATTGCATGCGAAAGTCAATCAGCAAAACAAAACATGGTCTACAGTTGACAAGAGAGTGAGAAAAAGTCCAAGGGACTGCAAAGGGAAGAATTGTTGAGGCTGAAAATATGCTAGAAATTCTAGGTTTCCATGAGAATTCTACTAATTTGAACAAAGTTCCTAAACTTTATGAAATTTCATTTCAAATTCCTCTCAAGAGATTTGAAATCTTTTGGTCTTAATCTTGAAATAAATATAAAGAACATACAACATATATTCGCTTATACAAGTAATATAATCATAATGAAAATTGATACTTCCCTCTGTGCTGGGCACAACTCACTCTGATAAAAGCTCTTTCTCTTGATTAGTCATCTCTTCATAGGTTTGTTATTCCATTGTTCAATGTTTGTTTTGCCAAATGAAAGGAAACTCATGCATTCCCCAGCCTGATTATAAACATTATGGTCTACGTTCTCTCTCGGGGTCCAGAGGTTTTCTTTTATGTGCTTCCAAAGTGCTGGAAGATTTTTGAAATTCCACCCAAAACGAAGGAGAGCTCTGCATGAACAAGAAGAGGTGTTCGCCTCGTTTGCTCCCAGGTCGATGCATTTTAATGATGTGCCGGGGCCCACACAAATATAATTTCATTTTTGCATTCTTTGCAACTTTTGCAAGCTGCAGACTGCTGACTGCAAATTGATTGCTGGCCAACAAAAAGAGGGCCAAGAAAAGGCACAGAGAACGGCACCGGCCAGGCAACAAAAGCGGCTCACGCAATGCATGGCAACAATTGTAGCCGGTTTAATGAGCTCAAAAATGCGCGCAACAATGAAGAGCTGGCCAGGCTCCAAACCAAGGCCAATTTCCCAATGGCCAACCCCACTTGGCATCCCTTCCCCCTTCTGCACTCGTGTAATTAAATGCAATTTTATTGCCACGATCGGGTGGGGGCACAACAACACAAAAAACAAAAAATGAATAGGTGGGGCAATAAAAGCGAACTGGCCTGTGAGGGCCACAAAAGTGTTGATAATGCTGCAAACGGCGCTGCCAACTTGATTTATGCAGCACAAAGGAGTATGGCTAACATGGCTAACACTGCCACTTCCGCCGACCAAAGCAAACAATGAGCGAAGTAATTAATTCCAAAGTAAACAATTTATCAATTGCATTCCGCTGGCGGCACAAAGCAGGCCGCACCGCAGATCAGGTGAAAGTCAGCAAAGGGTAAGGAAATTTCCAAACCACACCGGAAAATGTGAAGGAGTTTTGCTAATGAAAAGTAATTAAGAGTCCAGGTTATTAGAAGATTATTATATAAATTTATTAATACCTTTAAAAGTTATTCCAAATTTGTAAGTATTGAAAGTTCGATTTATATTAGCTCTTAACCGTTTTATCTATATAATTCCATATAATATATAATTAACTGATTGTATTCTAATCTCCCATATAAAATTTGGCTTCTGCGGAATTAGTATTAGAGGAATCACTATCTCTAGCCGAATTCATATTCGCGGAAGCAGCTGCACCCTCGGTCCTCGGATGCAACATCGCTAGGCGATCACCGCTCTCGTCCTCATCCAATTCATCATCAGATCCCTTTGTTTGTTTCTGGAAGCCTGTGAATAGATTCAAACTGGAATATGTACGGACGGGCCAAGAGGTTTCGCTCCATTCTTTAGGCTGTTCCGATTTCCGGTCCCGATCCTCATCATCTCCAATATCTTGACCCCTCGGGTGGCGCTTACCCATGACAGGGCGATGCAAAAGCCTTAACACGGGGATTGGATCAAAGGACATTAATTCCCAGAAAATTGCAATCTCAACGGTATGGAATGAGGACAAAATGTGATTTAGATAGCAACGCTCGAGTCCACGGTACACCTCTGGCCATGTCGGCACGGACAGGAGGCACCACAGCTGGAAGGCATGGTAGCTCAGTGGTCCGCTTTTGTCCGGCAGATTCTCGATCAAGTTCACCAGCATATAGTCATGCCGGTAACTCTCAACCTCCTTTGTCCGATCGCACTGTTTCGGAGAGAATGGCGCCTTGATGCACAATTGTGCAACACCCCAAAGGTAGGGCACAAAGAAGTAGTCTTCAATAACGGACCTCGGGTTGCTGACCTTGGGCAGTTCATAGATTGCGATCAGGCGGCGCACCAGGTGTATGTAGCGATAGGAAAGCATTAGGGCGGCGGCCACGGTGTCGCTGCCCTTTAGAATCTTAGCTCGAAATAGACCGCAGAGGAAAAAGAGAAACATCAACTCGTTACCGGGGCCATAATCAAGAGTTGTGGGATTGCCAAAGGCGCGTCTAAGGTACTCCCCCAGCTCATAAATGTGATTGCACTTCTGCGAGCTAATGGTTCCCGCCAGCTGTTCCAGCACTATGTGGAACATTTTCTTTAACCACGATCTATAGGAGACATTTTTTACTTCGGGTGTCGATGCCGCTGATGTATCTGTTTGCTTATTTAAGGGACGCTCCAGCATATCAAACATATTGCACAGTCGTTTCATCTCCTCCGATACGGGAAAGCTCCCGGTCAAACGATAGCCCTGAACGGCAAGGCTAGTATTGCTTATGTAGGTAGTCAGGTCGAAATATGCCTGCGATCGAACCCAATCGATTAGATCCGAGTCGCCACGGATGTGCTTCTCTGGACCCTTTTGGGTCAAAACGTCCGTTGCTCGCAGTACATCCTCGTTGAGATCAACAAAAATATTGTCTGGTCTATGGATGAAGCTCATTTTGAATTCGATTGTGAGAGAGTTTGTGCGGTAATATTGGTGAGTTTGAATGTGACTATGAATCTATCGGCACAGCCTACTGGGAAAGCAATCAGTCAATCCTTGATGAATATTCTTTAAGCTCTAGATTAGTTAGATTGTCAAAGTTCAACTTGCTTTTTAGGCATATGTGGTTTTATAACAATAAGCATTCTATAATTAAAAGCACTCCTCATAAAAACTTGAAAATTTTATTAAATATTTATTTGAATTTAAATGTGGCTAACATGGCGTATGAGTAATATCACTTTAACTTTATACATAAGTATAAGAACGAATAAAAATACTTATATATTTATGTAATTATATAGTCAAATTCTCAATACAACTTTAAAGTTCAACTTACTGAACCTTTGTATGGGAGCTATATGATATAGTATTCCGATTTTCATAAAATTGTATACAAAATTCTAGATTGGTCATAGATACTTACTGTACAGAGTTACTTAACGATCATAGATACTTACTGTTCAGAGTTAATTATTACTCAGAGTTAATTACTGGTCATAGTTAATTACTTATCATAGTTCTATAAATCGTCCGACTGTTCCTATAGCAACTATATATATGTATATATATAGTCGACCGATTCGCCATGCTCCAACCTATATACTAGTAAAATTATATAGACGAATAATTCCATAGTTTCATTCTCTCTCCCCCTCTCACTCTATGTTAATCGCTCAATGTTAATCTCTAGAGGCAACTGCTCTCTCCCACGCACTCACACTCACTTTCTCTGCTCTGCTCTGCTCTGCTCGGGGACTATAAATAGAGGTGCTGAGGTCGCGCGCGCCTCAGTCTGTCCTAGGGGTACCTAGTGTTAACATCTCAAGTGATAGTGATAGTGATCCCCCTTCGATCCCAAAAATATGACGTGGCCAATACATCTGGATGACTAGGAAGAAACTCACTTTGGATGAAGTCACCATTCTTGGTCAATGTAAACAATGACGAAAGAGAATAGCCACGTGTCCTTTACGGCGGTAAGTCTTAACCATGACATTTATATTATGTATGAAGAAGCTGTAGGTGGGATTAGGCCTAGTTCTAGACTTTATATTCTAATTTATTTCCTTATTGCCATGGTCCCCTTTACATTCTTAGAAACTTACTAAAACTTTTCAATACCTTAGATACTTACTGATTATAGTTACTTAGTGATCATAGATACTTACTGTTCAGAGTTACTTACAGGTCATAGACACTTAGTTCAGAGTTATTTACTGATCATAGATACTTACTGTTCAAACTTAATCTTCATATTATATGATTCCCAACTGGTTCAAACATCCCCGGAACGAAGTGACTGCTGCCGGCCAACTCTCAGAAATGTTTTGTTACAAAAGTTGCAAGTCATTGTTTATTAGTGTTCAAAGTTAGTAAGTTATCATACATTCTTACTGGTCATAGATAGTTTCTGATCTTAATTACTGGTCATAGATACTAAGTGTTCAGAGTTACTTACTGATCACAGTTAATTACTGGTCATAGTTACTTACTGATCATTGTTAATTAGTATTCATCGATACTTCCTGGTCAAAGTTACTTTCGACGGACAGGCGGATGGACCGACTCGGCTGTTGATGCTGATTAAGAATCTACATACTTTATATGGTCGGAGATGACTCCTTCACAGCATTGCAAACTTCTAACTTAAAAGTGTAATACCCTGCAAGGGTATACAAATTATAAAGAACTAATAGTTAAATCAACCAATTTCCTAACTCTCTTTTAATCTCGCATAAGTTTCCCATGAAATTCACTTTGCAAACTTTAAATAGCTCTTGGGGACCTCAGTTCGCTGACCAACACTTACATTATAATCGAATTGAGCAAATAAATTCCAAGCCGGAAAAGCCCCCAAAGCCATTGCATTATCTGCACTAATTAAGAATGCCGAAAAAGTCAGTTTGCCAAGCACTCTTCTGCCACAACCAGAAGTGCATTTCGGGGTTACAGCTACGTGCTCATCAGCATAATCAAGTGCGCGTGGGAGTTGGCTGCGAAGTGGAAGTAAAACTTAACTGCAATTTGAAAGAGATTACAATTATTTGATTGCACTTACGAGGCCAAAAGTGTTTTGCAAAGTCGCACTCATAAATTTTGAATGCCAAATGCTGGAGATAAAGCTTATCGCGATTGGGCAACAATACTCTCTCTGTCTCTCACTGGGATATGCCAGATGAATCACGGTCCAGGGAGCTGATTTCAGTTGAGTCATTTAGGTATATTGGGGACAATGATTGGGATCCGCTTGTCTGCCAAGATCTCCTGTGCCATCTCATCGCAGAAAACAACCAACCGCTGGGCTGGTCTCTGCGCCCTGACAGTCGTTCATAAATTAAGACATTCAGCAAACAAAATAAATAAGCCAACCGGCAGAGAGATGCACACGTGTCTGCGGTTCGAGGAGCTCTTCAAAGAGTTTGTCAACCGGCAAAAGTCTGTGGCTAATTATGCGCGGCCTCCACTTCATTTTCCCGCATGAAGATCTCGCCTCAGACTGCAGACTACGGGCCACATCCCATTGCAATTGCATTTGCAGGCATACAAAAGGCGGAAAAGAAATGCCAAAAAGCCGAATGACATGTGAAAATATGCAAATATCAAAAAGTGAATGAATGGGTCTGGACCGGTCTGGTGCGATCTACTTCTGCTGGTCGTCTGGGTTGGCATTTTCTGCTCCTCCATGCTCCATGGGCCTGCTGGCTTCACTTATTAAATATATAATGGAACCCGGTCGCAAGACGAGACCCAGCGTCGTCACCAAGCGCTTTAATTATGATGTCGAAATTCGCATTAATTGCCACAGAAACGACAAGTTCCGACTGCAGAACCAGGATCTCTTCTGTACACTTGAAGGAAACTAGTCCTAGTTGCAAAAATAGTAAAGAAATGTTTCTGCTATGCAGAAATTACTTAACAATTTCATAAACTTTCTCAGAGTTCTTTTCAGTTTCTTATATACATATTTTCTAGCAGTGTTTTGCTGCACTTTAAAGAACTCTGGTTCCCTATTTTTCGCCGGCACTTTTGACATCAGTTTATATAATTTTGACAAGCGTTTAAATGCCTGCCAGACGACCGTCGACAGTTGTCAACTGTTATTGTGGGGCTGAAGCACTGCGACTTGATTTCACATTCAGATTAAGGCTCTGTTAATAAGTGGGGGGAAATGTGGCAGGACAATGGAATGGGAATGGCGTTGATGTCGCCATCTCTGTTTTGATGTGGCTTAATGCATTTGGACAGCACGCGATTTAAATTGCCTCGGCAAAGGCACTTAATTATTTGCAAATGTGAGAATGAGATGTTGTCCCCCAAGTAAGGGTTGCAATAAGAATAATTATGGGGATTAAAAGGAAAGAGTGGAATGGGAGGTTTATGCGGTGAGATTCAAAGGTAAAGCGTTGGAACAATTCAAGGAAATGAGCAAAAGATTTAAGAGATTCCCTTTAGGGGGTTTCCATAAATAAATCATTTAGAATATTAGATTGTTATACCTTATCATCCTTTCTGAGAACTCTTCTTATTGGTAAAATCGAATAAATAGAATAATCTTTCATAGCTATTGTGTTTTATAAGTAATGTATGTTCCTGTTTTTCTAATTAAGTAATTGCTTTGGCAAATGGGTTGCCAATCAAGGCAGAATACTATCACTCCGCTCCGGAGTCAGTGGCATCTGGTGGTCATTGGATTTGATTTGATTTATCTTAAAGCTCTTATTAAAATTTCACTCCCTCCTCTAACGCTTAACAACTGATTAACAGCCAAAAGGAAGCCAGACGTGCGTGATGCCAAACAAAAGGAGCTGGCTATGATGGATCCCGGCTGGGATGAGATCAGCGCCAAGTTCCTTTAATTAAAATAGACAAATGGCGCACGATTGGGCACTCGATGATGGGTCGCCATCCCGATGGCACACAGCTGTTGCCTAATTTATGAAAAATTCACAAAACGAACTTATCAATCATAATGCTTGAGCTCTCCAAAAAGAGGAAGCTCTGCCACATTGTTGGCATCTCCATCCTTAGCATTCCGAGCACGTGCCTCGCTGCCGGCCAAGAGATGCTGCGAAAAAAAAAAAACAGGAGGAGGAAAAGCGAGGAGTAGCTCTCAGTGAGAATTCAATAGAAAAATTGCACAAACCTTACCGTCCATTTGCAGTTTGCAGTTCTCAAACGTAATTGTGGGCGCCTCGTTTTCAAAAAGAGTACAGACCAGGGAACCTGGGGAGGAAACCGAGGAATGAGACCGAGTCTCTCCTCGGTGATGAAGATGAAGATAATGCGGCGGATGCTTTACTGTAGCCAATTTGGCTGGCAGCCGCTCAGCAATGACACGCCGTACGTGACCTGTTCGTCAAATGCAGCCCAGAGACAAAGTGCAGGAAGCTGGGATGATCAGCTTTAAACTTTTCGGTCAAGTCATTTAGCTTCGATTGACAATTGGATACAAATATTGATGAGGAGAGGACAGGAAATTCATCAGGGCAACACAATTGTGTGGGACTTATTTCTTGGCTTAAAGATATCCTTACAATGTATCATTAGCTAAGGATATTTAGGAAGAAACTATATCTCGTAGTTCTTAAGATAAGCTTACCTATAGCATTTTCTCACAGATTCCATTTCTTTCTTCTTCTTCTGCTTTTTCAACTTTAAAAGCAAATTACTCCCCAAGCAAATATCTCTCTAATTGCTTTAGTTTGCCAGCGACAGCATAATTAGTCACAATCACTAATTTTAACACAGGAAAACCTCACAAAATTCAATTTCCAATGAAAATTACAGACCAAAAAGGGAGGACTTGGCAGGAAAATGCTTTAAAAAAATATATCAAAGACAGACACGCGACCACAAAACAAATTTTACTTTGCTCTAACGCTCCTCTATATCCATCCCTCCGCTCGAGTAGTAATGAAAAATTCTCAGAAATTTCAATTATTCAACATTTTTAACGCCAGGCAAATGAGCACAAGATTTTTCCCGTCTTGACTCCTCGAGGAAACCAAACTAATTAAAGACGCGTCCACCTACAAAA